CGCTTAACCGACTAAGGCACCCAGGCGCCCCAAGAGGTCTTTTTCAAACGGATACATGGGCTGTTCAGAATTTTTGCATCTATCTGTTACCTAAGCTCACTTTAGAGTCTAAATACAAGTTTCCAGGGCGTAGTCATTGACACGTCTACCTGAAAATAACAAGGGCTGGATCACAGACCGCTAGGACAGTGGAGCTTAAACAGTGAAAACTGGGTACCATACCTTCTCATCAGCTGCCAGACTAAAGCTAAAGTCAGAGTTTGGTTTCCATCGTTCAGGTCTTGCCCTCCGATACCAACCAGGGAGAATTTGGCAGGATGCTTTCCCAGTTCAACAGCATAGTTGCAGTTTTCTAGCTGTAAACCCACAAAAAGCCAATGGTTGAGGATTTTTCATCTGCTTTATCTGGATACACATGTGAGTACGCATGCACGATGCTGGGCACTTAGCACATCAAAATAAGTTAAGACACGGTTCCTGTTCTCAAGAAGCTCAGATGCAAGAGTTTTCCAAACAAAAGAAACAAACAGAATAAAAATAGCCTGTGACAAATGTATACAGCAACTTAATGATCTACCTTTTTCATGTTGGCTCCAAGTTTCGGGTATGGAGGTTTATTAACCTTACTCCAGTCAACAGGAACTTTAATTCGTTCATACAACTGTAAGATTACCAGGGCATCCTGCAGGTCACTAAAGATTTAAAAATAATTTAATCAGTGTTTTTAGACAGCTGGGCCTTTGTTTCCTTAAAAACAATAACAGTACACTGGCAACTAAAACATATAAAACCACAGATAATACCCAAGGCTCATATTTTCTATCAATTTGTCCTAAAAAATAGAGCTAACACCATCCTGTTCACTTAAAATACTTATCACAAGCTTCTGATTTGCAAGGTACTATTCTAGAAGCTGGGCACATAGAATGAAAATCCTTGGCCTTACACTAGACTCAGGGAGAGAGAGAGAGATAATAAACAAGTATATGGATCAACAGGTGATTTGATTTGGGGGTATATATAACTGCTATGAAGATGAAAAGAACCAGGGTTAGGGTTATGGAGTGTTAGGTGGTAGTCAGGGCCTGAATTAGTGGCTTGAATATAGTAAGGGAATAAGGCATTTGAGGCAGAAAAGAACATTCCAGGCTGAGAGAACAGTGAGTACAAAGGCCTCAAGACATCATGGATGGTGTACTTAAGGCATTCCCCGGTCTCTTTTCAAAATATAAAGGCTATTCCGTAGGGTGTTAGAAAGACATTCATACACTCTTTCACTTAATGATCATGTAAAGAAAGAATCTGGGCTTCTGTGTATTCGGAAAATGATAATGGATGTCACCATTCAACATCTTCCGATCTAAATAGCCAGTGTAAACGAACATCTAGAAAATGTTTAGAGCTGTAATTCCTTCTGTGGCATCCATTCACGATGCTCCTAACAGATAATAACAGTACAAAGGCTTACGCATAGAGATGGTTTACATGGGGATTAACACCAAGAGAATTCATCCAGTTACGGAAGGTTCTTTCTTCACGAGTTTCTCCTAATAAGAATATTCACAAAATGTATATATTAATTAAATACCTTGTATATGTGCATATCATATCAATTCATAGTTAAGATTACTTCATTTCCTCTGTACAAACCTAGAGGTTTTCTCCAATATGAATCTCCAGACATTCTCTCTAAATGCATTCTCTCTAGGTACAGCCTTCTTTAAAAAAATCTGTTGAATTTATTTTACAATTGAAGAATACAACTTTATAATCAAACAATTTAGAGGTTTATGAATTTTTTATAATCTCCTCCCCCTTCTAAGGCTTCCCCAATATCTCCCCAAGTCCCCATACCTCAAAAGTAACTGATGTGATCAGTTTTACATTTAAAAAAATTGGGGGGGAATCAAAAATATTTTGGGGGGTGGTCATATGAACCCTCTATACTCATGAATTTACACCTTCCCTCTACACATTTATAAATTTTAAGCTACACACGAGCACGCCTTTCACATGCCTATATCACAGCAACAAGTTCCGTGAAACTTGAAAAGCATAAAATGTAAAGATTTTATAGTCCTGCCAGTGGATGGTCAAGGAATGACTACTACATTTGTTCATATTTGAATCTTATACTTCATGCATATATAATCTGGAAAAGGTAAACTCTGCCTTCCCCAAACTTAATTGCCATCCATTATTATTATCATTTTAAAGACTTTATTTTTAAGTAATCGCCACACCCAGTGTGGGGCTCTAACTCATGACCCTGAGATCAAGAGTCGCACGCTCTACCGACTGAGCCGGCCAGGCACTCCCTATTATGATTTTTTGAGTAGATGAGTAGAAAAGGAACTGGGGCTAGTGCTGTCTGGTTAGTCTGACTGTGGAAGAATGACATAATACTGTGAACTGATAGGTCAAATTGAATGCATATATACCTTTTTCTGGTGAGGGGTTTAAAGATGATCTATTTCTAAAATATTAAAATAAAACAATGGTTTACTAAGTGGCCTTAAGCTAGGTGATCCTTGACTACAAGTTTCCCGGTGTCACCCTTTTCTATCAGCTGCCACTTTTTACTCAGCCCTCGGGTCTACTTCCAGCAGAGATTTGCTAAGAGAAAGTGGAGAAGGAAACTTATTAAGTCAAGATCCTGGAATCATCGTGGCCTGTGTATTTCTGGTCTGTGGTCCCGCACATTAGAATGTGAGAAACCTTCCATTACCTTCCAACAGAGTCCAGTCAATATCCTGGTTCTCGGGCTTGGTTAGTGCCGGGTATTTATTAAACAGGTTAGCCACAAAGGCTAAGTTCAGTTTGGGGTTTCCACTGACAACATCAGCAGGGGTGACAAACTGTCTGCAACCCAACTTGTCTGCTTGTTGAAGCATACTCTCAGCTCTCTTCAAATCATCTGTTTCCTGTTGAAGTAAAGTAAGGAGGCATCTTTTAAAAGGCTATGCTAAAAATATAGACATGTTCCTCTACAATGATAGGCTGGATATACAATTCTACTTTCTCTTGGCCAACATATGGTACTTATTATAAAATTGTTTTGAATACAACAGCAGAAAAAGTTGGCCGTATTTGCATGCAGTACCTAAAAAACACGCTAGGTGGCACCAGATCATTTAGCTGAGGACAGTGCATTTACTTCAAATAGGATTACATCTCCCCTGCGAAAACTCCAGAAAAAAGCTAAAACTGTTGCGATTTTTCAAGTGGGCCCTAAAGAAGGCATAAGACTGAAAAAGATACAGAAATTATGAGAAAATATTTAAAAAATAATCATCAAGACTAGCAGTTTCCAGTAATTTAATTTCAGGTTTAAATCGTTTATTTCAAATTGTAGTTTTCCTCCGCAAGGATTTTTTTTTTTTTTCTTTTTTGGTTACGGTTTATTTGACTTAACATTTCCACCCAGGCAGAAGCAGAGTTGCTCATTTCTGTAAAGAATACTTACTTCCAACTAATTCCCATGACTCCTAACTTGTTACCCCCCCCCACCCCAAGATGAATGCCCAGCTCTGGATTAACACAGGGTTTGGTGAAGAATTTAAGTTATCCAATCATTTCAGCCTGATGTCAAAAATACAGTTTCTCAGGCACTCACTATTCCCACCTCCCAAGGCTACAACTGAAAAACCTGGAGCCACGGGTGGAACGGGTGCTTTTGGATCTTCTGTTTCTAGTGACCTACACTTGAAAAGGAACAGAGTGGCACTCTGGGCACTTTCTACATCGACACAATACAGTTTTGCCCCGGGGCAAACGTGAGCACTTCTGCGGAACGGTGTCATGGGAGAAAGGGTTTTACAGTCTGGTGGGAAAAGAAGAGATAAAATAAATGAAACCTGAGGAATGTTACTTTTAAACTAAAGCTGCCCAGAATGTGTAATTTGACAGTCTTAACTTTGTCTTCAATGGGTGATGCTATCTTTAATTAGTTTTTTTAAGCTCCAGTGAGGTGCCTTGATTGTACAGGACTCCAGAACAATGTGTATTTAGTTTGTTACCTTCTGCAAAACAATCAGTAACCACCAGCAGATGGGCAATTGAGTGGGATTCAACCTTTCTTCAGGGTTCTCTCTGAGCATAGTGAGTTCCTCTCATGGAGCCTATTTTATTTCTTGTAACCTGTCAGTTATTACTTTAATATTGTTTGCTGTATGCTATTTACCAACTTATTTTAAAATCCTTTCTTTATTGATCATCTTGGCATTCCTAATGAAGCACTGATAATATTGGAATAGGAGGAAGCTTTAGAGTAGACAGAAACAAAAAAAAATTTAAATAGTCAAATAGACAATAGTGAAATAAAAAATAATCAAATAAAAAACATATATGCAAAAATAACTCCAGCCCCACTTCCCACCATATTCAAAGTTAACCCCAAACATATTTCTAAATGTAAAACCTCAAACTATAAAACCTCTAGGAGAACACATAGGAAGAAATATTTGTGACCTTGCGTTAGGCTAAAATTTCTTATATACAACATCAAAAGCATGATCCATAAAAGAAAAAATGACTAAATCTGACTTTGCCAAAATTAAGAACGTCTGTTCTTTGAAAAACATTGAGAGAAAATATTTGCAAATCACATATCCAATCAAGGACTTGTCTCCAAAATACATAAAAACACTCAAAACTGGCTAATAAGAAAACAAACAATGCAATTAAAAATGGGCAAAATGTTTGAACATGATGATACATAGATGGCAAATAACCACATTAAAAATGTTCAACATCATAGGTCATTAGGGAAATACAAATTAAAACCACAATGACAGATCATTCGGCACCTGTTAGAATGATTCAAGTTAAAAGGACTAACCACACTAAAGTGTTAGTGAGGGTGTGGATGAACTGGAACTTTTATATATATGTTGCCGGTAGCAATGTAAAATGGTACAACCAGTTTGGAAAACGAATTGGCCGCTTCCTAAAAAAGTCAAACATAGACATACCCAATTACTCAGCCATTTCATTCCTAGGTATTTACCAAAGAGAAATGAATGCATATCTTTATACAAAGAGTTCTGTATGAATGCTCAATAGCAGCTATATTTGTAATAGCCCCAAACTGGAAACAATCCAAATGCTCATCAGCAAGTGCATGTGTAAACAAATCTGTGGTATCTCCATTCACCGGCATATAATTCAGGAATAAACAAGGAATGCATTTATGATACATGTGACAACATGAATGAATATCAAAATATTATGCTGAGTGAAAGAAGCTAGACCAAAAAAAAAGGATACATACTGTAGGGGTCCATTATATAAAACTCATAAAAATTCAAACTAATATAAAGTGAAAGAAAACAAATGAGTGGTTGCCTGGGATGGGAGCCGGAAGGCATTACAAAGGGTCATGAGAAAACCGGATGTGATAATGGATATAAAAAAAAAATCAATTATCAGTCAGTTAGGCCCTAAAGAAGGTAATAAGGCTGAAAAAGATGAAGAAGAACACTGACCAACAAGGTAAAAGTGTGAGCAAAGGCTCAGAGGTAAAATGAGTATTGGGGGCAGGGGTGAGGGGATGCGGGTAGAGACTAACAGGAAAGAGCACTCGCTAGCAGACCTGGAGCAAGACTGTGGAGGGCCTTAAATGCTAAGCAGAGCACTTGAGACTAAAGTCTGGAGTCAATGGGGAATCCTTGAAGGATTCTGGGGAGGGAAGAGTCAGAGGAGTGTTTGAAGATCAGCCAGGGAAGACTGAATGGAGAAGAGCTGTCTGGAAATCAGAATCAGTTAGTGTACTGGCTGCCAGTCACCCAGCGAGCCTGCCCAGACAGCTCCCCAGCACACAGGACAGCTCCCTATCCATACCAAGTCACCCGAACCAGAGTCTCACGTCCAACATACAGACAGCAATATAAGCGCACAAGTCAGTTACAAATTCAGTTCTGATAAGGGCAGTGTAAGTGGTTTAGCCCGTGTTATCTACTCGATCCTACTGCCTAGTGGGCTAGAAACACGGATTCTCTAAATTAGTACAAGGCATTCTATATCTAACGGGTACAAAGAACGCACCAGGGGATCCTAGAAACTTGAGACGAAATCGTCTAGCCCAATTTATGGATGAGCAAAGTGAGATCCAATGTGGGGAAGGTCACTGAACAACTGAGTGATGTAACCAGGGAATATGGTCCATGAGTGAGTCCCCAAGCTGGATTTCAGGGATCCGCAGTTTGTAAACATATTCATGTTACTCTCAACACAGGAATATTACAGATGCATATACGAATAGCTTGTCATTACATCTCTCACTGTGACTATAATCCAAACACTTGGAAAAGGTTAGTTTCTAGCACTTACTTCCCCACCCTTGCTTTGCATATTTTATGCAATCAATATAAACCAATAGTGCCATCATTATGGATCCCATTAATAAACTATCAAACTCCACCAAAGCTACTCTTTCTGCCTTTGAATTATACCCACTGCAATAAATTATAAAATAATGCTCAAAATTTTTAACACCATTACAACCAATTATAAAAATTCTTGTTATTTAGAAGAAATTGACAATCATTTTGTAAGACTGTAGAATTCAAATGAACACCTATACTTACATTGAAACCTGACATGTTAATATCTATCCGTGGTTCACCTTCCTTCTGTCCTTTTGGTGCAATTTGATTGAGAAGATGGAAATAGGCTTTGGAATCCTACAAATGAATTGAAAATCTCAGTGAGATCACATCTACAAAGAATGAATGTATCCCATTGTCCCATGTTTGGTAGGATATTTGCACTGGATTTTGTGAGAATATATGGCACAAATCTCTGTCTTCTAATCTAACAGATCTTTCCCCCAGAAAAGCCCATCTATCTGGCCTAATGTCTGTCTCGAATATGGATAACTGGATTTTATCATGACTTTACAACCGATTAACATTACCAATACAATAATGCTAGTAAACACATTAACTAGTTCTGTACCTTCACTGAATTACTGAAGTCAATAAGCTTGGTAGATAAAACAAGCAAGAAAAGAAAGTAGGAGCAGAAATCCAGGAAGCATAGGGAAAGAGAAAACAGACAGGTTACATCATTACAAAACACAATATATACCATAACCTATGGAGAAGAGATTAGCTATGTTAAAGATGTATTTAATTGTAAATTTAAATGACATTTTTTAAATGAGTAACTCTTGAGTTGGTGAAATAACGTTTAACCCTGTATGACCTGAATATAGTTAACCAAACAAGATATTTTTTTTTTAAGTAGGTTCCCCACCCAGCATGGAGCCCAATGCGGGGCTTGAACTCATGACCCTGAGATCAAGACCTGAGCTGAGATCAAGAATCGGACGCTTCACTGACTGAACCACCCAGGTGCTCCCTGAAGATTTTCTTTTTGCTTTAAGCTCCTGAACTCATTCATTGTTTGAATGTTTTACTTGGAATCCCAGTAACTAAAAGTGGCGCTGCTCATATGGGGGTAGGCTAGGTGAAATCAGGCTGTGTGGACCCTCTACAGAATACAACTTGAGAACCACTGTACTGGGGCAAACCCTTAATAACCGTCTTCAACACAAATGTCAAGTAAACTTCTGCCTTTAGGGGACTGAACCTGGAGTCAAGACTCCTTAATCCTGCTCTATTGGAAGATGACCTCCCCAGCGGTGATCAGTTTCTATTACTGAACCCTGACGGTCCAGACAGGCTTATAAAGGAACGTTTCTCCTAGTAAACTCTGTAGATTATGTGCATCTTAACCCCCTGGGGGAAGCCGTTCAATATACAGATTACTGGGTCCAACCCCAGACCTACCAAATACAAATCTCTGGGAGCTGCATCTTAAATGAGCCACCTAAGTGAGTTGGATACAGAATGCCAGAAATGATTCTAACAGTGGGGAAAATCAGGAGAGTGAAATCGACTTCAGAGCCATTCATGAACTGCAAACCCAGATCCCACCATTAGCAGGCGCAGGATTTGCCTCCCCGTAAGAGGGCATTACCGTCGTCGTGAAAGCGCTTTTGCTTACAATTTCTTCTTAATGGTGCCTGAACAGCTCATAATCGAATCCTATGCCCTTGAGAAGAATGGGGAAAGAGCAGACCCAGCAGTGTCTTTCGACCCTGGAAAGGGCTTTATAGGTGAAAATTACACTTGAAGCCTTTTTTCACATTACTGAACAATCCTTTGCTTTTTAAAAAGATTCAAGGCAGGCTCCATTTTTAAACACTATTTCCTCTTGTACATTTCAAAGAGGTCCCAGAACAGAAAATCCATTTAAGAGTGGTTTTCGGGAACACATCTCATGCATAAAGCAAAAATATACCTGGCCAAACATCTTGTGTAAGTTAAAAGAAGGGGTGGGAGGCCTGCTGGTCTTATAATTTGGGAGCTATCCTTAATTTTCCCTGGTGAAATCAGTAATGCAACTATCGCACGACTTCCTCTCCCCACTGAGCACATCAATAGGATCACAGCCTATCGTTTTCATAGCCCTGTGGGTCAGTGACATCTGGTGAAGATCCTTGAATGTGTTCCCTGTGTCCCAAACACTTGGATTTGGGAGAGAGTCGAGTCAATGAATGAGAATTTTTTTGCTGTGGTGATTTTGGCCCCCTCTCTCTGGGAAGCTACCAATGTCTCCTTCCTCTGCTAGTTTTTTCCTTACTGCCTTTGAGAAGCAAATGCCAAAATGTAACACAAGAAATATTTGTAGGTCTTTTATGTGGCGGGTCTTGTGGTTGGAGGCGGGCTTTGGTCGGAGGGCCCTAGGGCAGGGGCTGAGGTACGAGACAGCCATATGTAAGAGTTCATCACTACCCTCATAAACTCAATGTCTACAGGTGGGAGCACATGATAGAAAGAAGCCAAATAAGAAAGGGGAAGGAGAATCCTGGGGCCCTTTCTCTCTCTTCCAGGATTTACTAACAGGTACCCTGTGGTCTGGGAAAGGCAATTAGGAAGAGAATGGTCATGGCCCACCCTCTGATACTCCATGTTTAACAGGCGGCAGAATAGAAAGCCTCAGGACTATATAATACTTTGACCCTTTCCCAGAGAAGGCAAGTTAAACTCGGTGCTAGTACTGTTCACTAGGTTTCAGCTCTCCCGAAATCTACCACCAGGGCCGAGGGCCAACAAGGCCTGGCGATATCCTGGCAGGACTTTTCCCTCTAACTGGGAGGAAGTCATCCAAGACATCGTATCCTCCAAAGGCGTGATGGTTCTTTGCACGGTTACCTTGATGTCAGCACTAAAGTTGTTGATTTTTTGCCAGCCCGAGTTTTCCAAGTGAAAGTTTGCCCATCTGAGCAGAAGCTCTTCCGGAGACAATTTCATAAGCTCCTCCAAAGTCTCACCATCTCGAAGTAAGGCGGCCAAGGCTATAAGGAAAACAAACACACAAACCCCACAACCAATATATTATATGACAGTGGTCATTACAAGTTCATTCGGTCTTTGGACACTCTGTTCGGTAACAGAGGTGCAATGACTGGTCTGACCTAGTTCCTCATTTTTAGGTACTGATAGTCTAATAAAAGTTAATATATTAGTAGATAATTATATGATGATCTAGATAAAGACACTGTTATGAGAATACATAGCAAATACATAATTTAATTTATTAGTCTTCATGTTCCAAATGGCAAATAAGTTACAGCTTTTAAAACATTTTACGTTATGTCGTATGTTTACCTAAATTGTCCTTGTTTTTTTTTTTTTTAAAGATTTTATTTATTTGAGAGACTGAGTGTGAGCGGGGGGAGTAAGAGAGGGAGAGGGACGAGCGGACTCTCCCCAAAGCTTGCCTTGGGGCTCAATCCCACAACCCTGAGATCATGACCTAAGCCAAAATCAAGAGTTGGACACTCAACAGACTGAGCCACCCAGGCACCCCGAAACACTATGGTATTTATATTTAAGTGTAATTATTTGACTCTCAAAGGGTTAAATCTATTTTTAAAAATATTTTTTAAAGTAATCTCTGCACCCAACGTGGGGTTCAAACCCACAACCCCGAGATCAAGTGTTGCAACATTCCACCAACTCAGGGCACCAGGCCAGGTGCCCTGGGTTAAATCTATTTTTAAAGGGATATAATTTAACTTTACGTTTTCTATAGCACCTAACATGTAAAAGCTGCTATTACTTTTTGTTGTTGAATTGAATGTATAGAAGGAGCCAAGGGTTTCTGGTAAATATTCCCTATAGGGAGTAGGTAGAAGCAGGGGGTGTCTGCAGAGAGAACAGTCTAAATTTTGGCATTGTTTTAGGAGTAAGTTGTGGAGTCCTAACGCAAAAATTCCCTCCCATGAAATAAAAGGAGGTTTAGCTTGAACAAGAAGACTGAAACTGCCTGATTTCTTTTTGTTTAAAGATTTTATTTATTTGAGAGAGAGAGAGAGTGAGCGAGAGAGAGCACAGAGAAAGAGGGAGAGGGAGAAGCAGGCTTCCCGCTGAGCAGGGAGCCTGATGTGGGGCTCGATCCCAGGACCCCGAGATCATGACCTGAGCCGAAGGCAGACGCTTAACCGACTGAGTCACCCAGGCGCCCCATGAAACTGCCTGATTTCTGAAGAGGTCTAAGCAACACCTTTATCAGGCAAATTTCATCTTTCACAGACTCTGCTTCATGCCGCGTCATTCTGACGCTGAGGGATTTAAGCCAGGGCAGAAGCAGCAGGTCACTTGTCCAAGACCCTCCTTTGGCTCCCCATCTCCACCACGTCAAAGGCTAGGGAGGACTAAACAGCCTGATATCTATGCACCTGAGACCTTTTCAAAGAAAAGTCATTTGATTTACTACATAAGCCAATGTGATTTTATTTTGCTGTCCCCTTTGCCTTTCTGAACGGACTTCAACTTCTTTAACAAGACAAACGCCACTGTGCAGAAGGCCAGCAACGAGAGTAATTGTCTTTGTTCAAATATATGTACCTCTGAGTGGATTGAAAGAGCAAGTGTAACAGTCTCAAAAGTGCAAAAAAGTCTTATCATGGATTGATGTGCAAAATAAGACCGTCGACAGACATTCTGGGGCCTTGAAAAGACTGAGAACCCCAAATACATATTCCCCAGAAGTAACTAGGATTGAGAGAGCGATTTCTGGAATAAAACAGGACTATCTGGAGTGGTGTTTAATGTTTTAAGCTTTGCAGGAAGAGGATCATGTAGTATTGCCCAGGACACATGACAATTATATTGTACGTGCTTATACATCCTACAAATCCATGGTGTGATGTGAAACCCCATGCTGTAAGAAGTTCAGGAAATATGTGACCATCAAGGGTGGGGTAGACTAGTTTGAAGAGGTCTCAATCTGTGGGTGAAGATGGGGTGGTAGTTGTGCAGGCAGATTAGAAAAGAAAAGATACCCAGGCTGGGGACCTTGGGAATGTTCCTTAAACTCTGCGCTTTTGTGTCTTTATTACAAAATGAATTCTAAAGCACCAGGCAAATGTGAATTACTACTAAAGAAGAAAAGTTGTAATTAGACTGTTTTCCAGAACAACACTATAGCATTACCTTCTGTTAATTCTAGTTATCATCTAATCACCACAATTAAGTGAAAGCACGACAGTCTGTGTGACCAGGAAAAAATACCCAATAAACAACTTTCAGAATAATGACTGTGTTCCATTACCTTCATTCCTGCTTAATTCAATGTCGGCGAACAAACCAATCTTAATGATCTGCCAAAGCAGTCCCAGAACCAGATGCGGTTTCCCAGCCCGCAAATCCTCGGCACCGATGTTCACAACGTGACACCCAATGGCGGAAGCAGAGTTCAGTGCCAAGTTTAAGTTTTCCTGCAAGACAGCCAATGTACACATTTGCTTCTTGACCTTTCCAGTTTTTAAGGAGTCTACTCCCTTTACTGAAAATCATGCTCAACGAGGAAATTAATTTCAGTCACACATGATCCACAGAAAACAATTTCCAGGCAACAAACTCCAGACTTTGGTGTTAAAGGCATAGCTAAAACAAATCTCAGCCTTATTATTGTTACTGTCTTTTCCAGAATTCCGTGGGAAGTTAACTTGGTATTTTTATTTGGTCTCTTTTGAAGTACATGGACGTTGTCACAAAAGGAAAAGGCTGAGTGACTAGAGTCAGGATATCCATGCGGGTTAAGGGTCGTATTTCTTTTTTTCTTTTTAAAGATTTTATTTTTAAGCCATCTCTACACCCGACATGGGACTCAAACTTACAACCCCGAGATCAAGAGTCGCATCTTCTACCAACTGAGCCAGCCGGGTGCCCCAAGAGTCATTGTATTTCTATTTTTTTTAAAGATTATTTATTTATTTGACAGAGAGAGAGAGAGACCAGCAGAGGGAAAGGGAGAAGCAGACTCCCCACTGAGCAGGGAGCCTGATGTGGGACTCGATCCCAGGACCCCGGGATCATGACCTGAGCCGAAGGCAGACGCTTAACCAACTGAGCCACCCAGGCGCCTGAGTCGTTGTATTTCTAAAAATGCCTAAATGAGAGGTCTATTCCATGCATCTGAAATAGTTCTAGAAGCTGAATTCTCCACATCCCAAGAGGTGCTCTTGCCCGAGGGAATTTTGCTATCTCAGAGTATAATACTCACTTGATGGAAAAGAAAAATGCTCCATTGCTTAAGCATGCTAATTAATTAAGAGCTTAAATATTTTTGCTTATTTCTGCAGGCTTGAACACAGTGTGTAATGAGAAGAACACAGGGCTTTGGAGTTAGACCTGGATTTGAACTTCAGTTCCAACATTAACCCTGGGCAAGCCCAGGAGCCTTTCTGAGTCCCAGCTCTCCTGTCAAATTTGGATAATAGTCCTAAACTCAAGAGTTAATATAGGAATTAAATGGGAAGATACGAAGGGCAGAACTGATGGTCTACAGAATAGGCCCTCACAAGGCAGTTTCCTGGAAGAGGGCAGGGAGATCAATGCGTACCTGAATGATGAAGGGTGTCAGTTTCTTCTTGTTGATTGCTCTTTCATCAATTGTATCAGGAACTGAAAGGTTGATCATTTTACTGAAACACAAATTAAGCAAGGAATTGGTTTACTTTTAAAGAGCCTGTAAATATTCACAAATGTTTTAAGGCACATGACATATCTCGCATGTAATCCGAAAAATTCAGTGCAATATATGACTTTTATCATGTTGATAACAAAAAATCTATGCACATGAAAAAAAAGACCAAAATGTTTACAGTAGGTGGGTATTTCTATGTTGGGGATTGGAACATTCTTTCTCATTTTAATTTCTTTGTATATTCCCATCATTTTATAAGAATGAATAACTTGGATATTGAAAAAACCTTACTGAATACATTTTAAAAACAGATAAAATCCCACACGGAAACTGTGTCTCTTCTCGACTGTAAAATTCACAAATAAGAATGACCATTTATTCACAGGAGGTAAATTTGTTGAGCATGAGATTCTTTCAGTCACCGTATTTGTTGAGAGCCTAAATGATGAGCAGGCATGATATTTGGTGCCGCTAATCCAGTGGTGACAGAAAGGTTCTACTAATTAGACTAGAATCTGTGATTTCTTTGGACGAATCTCATTTCGTAAAATTTGGACTTAGATGCTAACATTTTAGGTGTTTCTAATACTGCCCCAAAATATATGATTCTGCACAGGGAAAACCATGCTTCTTTCCATGCCAGATTTATTTATTTATTTATTTAAAGATTTTATTTATTTGACAGAGAGAGACACAGCGAGAGAGGGAACACAAGCAGGGGGAGTGGGAGAGGGAGAAGCAGGCTTCCCGCCGAGCAGGGAGCCCGATGCGGGGCTTGATCCCAGGACCCCCGGGTTCATGACCTGAGCCGAAGGCAGACCCTTAACGACTGAGCCACCCAGGCGCCCCCAGATTTATTTTTTTTTAACATTTTATTTATTTGAGAGAGAGAGAGAGCACAAACAGGGAGAGGGAGAAGCACATTTCCCACAAAGCAGGGAGCCTGATGCGACATGGGACTCGATCCCAGGACCCCGGGATCATGACCTGGGTCGAAGGCAGATGCTCAACCGACTGAGCCACCCAGGCGCCCCTGTGTCAGATTTGAATATCAAATCAATAGCATCATGTGATTATCACTCTGTATTAAAACACATGGGGGAATTATTTCTTTAGTGCCTATACATGGACGAAACGGGCTATCTTACGCTTTTTAACGGGGATCATAGTGGATGCAGGTGAAATGCAAAGGGGTTTGAATATCCTGACTGCAGCTGGGTTGGTCTTACACAGCTCCTGAGTGGCAGAGGCTGAAGACGAACCCAGGCAGACTGATTGTGGAGCATGCTCTTAGCCCATCAACGGACAACGTGTTGATCATCTTACATCCTTTCTGCCAAGATACTGTTGGCTCTGGCACAGCAGCAGGGACAAACAGATTTTTCAGAAATAAGTAATTGGAGAGTGAGAACTGAAGAGGAGGTTCTCTTTGTATTCTGAAGCTATGGTACTTTAAAAATAAGTAGACACTGCCATACTTAAGTCCAACAAAGTTGTCATGTTCTGCTTGCTCAAGTGATGAGAAAAACTGGAAGCTGGTAGCTTCCTTATAAAGCGGTCCCCAGTCTAAATGAGTGAGTTTTAGATTTGTATCTTGGTGGTACTTTCTTGGACACACCCAGACGACTTTCAATTCTGTTTCCCGCGCTGAAGCCGTCGAGCACCCAGAAACCAATATATCAGTTATGTGGAAGGCTGTTTAGAAAATCGGGACACAAAATCAACATCTTACCAAAGCACAATTCCATCACCAACAGCTTTGAACAGGTCGTCGGTATTTGGGTTCATGGGTATAACATGTCTGCAGTCGGGATCATTTTCCAAAGCTTTGTTTATCCAGTTAACAAAAGCATATTTTTCTTCCTCTATAGTCATGTTGAATAACAAGAAATTAGTTCACACTCTAGGTTGACTCTAAAGCCTAAAATAATTTGTACAGTAGTGCTGAAAGTTAATGTGTCACAAACATGGGGTTCTCCACTTTGGAAACCCAGATACTTGAATACAACATAGCTATTACGAAGTACAAAATTAACAAGAAAAAAATGGAGAGCAGGGTTAACTGATCCTTAGAGAAGTTAGTTACCAAATTCTTTAAAAATTATTACTTTTATTCCTGTAGAGTTCTACTATAATAAAGCCTATATTGCTCATATTGTAGAATATGCCTTGCAAGCTAACAAAGCCATACAATAAATATTTACAATGCCGTTATGGCAAGTATTAGTCCCAGGTCTAAATACGTGCCACAATGGGCTTCTGCTGTATTCTTAATTAGGAAGCAATGTTTTTCTAGCGCCCCTTCTTGACATCATAGCAGGCACCCTACTTAGGTCGCTGCGTTAACCTAACACATGTGAAACGCGTACTATTACCTGAGTAAGAATGCTGCGTTCCTTCACTGGACAGCTCGGAAGTGCCTCCCAGAGCACAAATCCCTTCTTTCCTGTTGATTGCTTTGCGGAAGGTTTTGGCAATGTCACTGCTTTTTACCTCTTGGAAAATCTACGAATGAAAATACGTTGTTAATTCACCATTCGTTTTAAATCAGGCTCAACGTTTTAAATAAAGCCCTTCTATCTTCTTTAAGACTCCGCTCACCTACATTTTCCCACATGGGTGGTGAGTCTTAAAGGAGATGGAAAACTGGGCTTGAGTTTTTAAGATGCTAAGCAAATACTACAATACTGCAACTGAAAATGAAGCCAGATAGTCAATTGCACACACTTGTCAAAAACGTTAAGTGCCACATGCATTGAATCCACTTTAAGCTGAAAACTAGTGTGGTTCAAAATCTGCTAATTTTCTACCAACAAGTAAGGCTTTGTTTGTTCCCTGGAGAGAAAAGGCTGAAGGATCCCCCTTCTTTAACTACAGTTCTTAGCGCAGAGAAAGATGAAAATTTATGACTCAACCAAAAAAAACCTTTTTTGGGGGTACAATGGTAAGAGTTTGTTCAATCAAAATTTACAGAATACTAAGGTGAAAAAATGGGTTAAGTTGGCAGCAAAAAGACAACTCTGGAGAATAAACACAAAAAAAGAGGCTTTTCAGTGACTGTCTTGTTTGAGTGTTTATGAAATCCAGCTTCTCGTCACAATGAAGAACATGGCTAACAAAATGAACCTGTACATGCTAATTGTACAAGAGCAGGTGGTAACAAAGCAAATTTCATACCCTACCCAACTGCCTGACTGAATGGACATTCTAAAGGACTATCTCTCTCTCTCTATTTTTTAAAGATTTCTTTATTTTAGAGAGAGCGCCCAAGTCGGGGGGGCGGGGAGAGGGGTAGAAGGAGAGGGAGAGAGAATCCTCAAGTAGACTCCCTGCTGAACACAGAGCCTGAGGTGGGGCTGGATCCCAGGACCCTGAGATTGACCTGAGCTGAAATCCAGAGTCAGAAGCCCAACCGACTGAGCCACCCAGGTGCCCCAGGACTATCTATATATTTTTAAATACTGGAACTCACCTAAGCCCAAACTTGTTTCTGATCTACCAGTGCACATGGCTAAAGTAGCCACCTCCAGTAAAATGAGAGCAAGATGTAGCATCTTCATAAAGATTTCTTTAAAAGGGGCACCTGGGTGGCTCAGTCAGTTAAGCGTCTGACTCTTGATTACAGTTCAGGTCATGATCTCAGGGTTGAGCCCTGTGTAGGGCTCCATGCTCAGCAGGGCGTCTGCTTGGGATTCTTTCTCCCTCTCCCTCTGCGCCCCCCAACCCCACATGTGTGCACGTGCTCTCAAATAAATAAAATCTTTAAAAAAAAAAGGTGTTTACCACATATAAGTGGACTTACAGAAGGACATGTATGACTCTAATGGAAGAGTTGCTGAACAAACAGAAAAGGAGTCAAAGGCCTTTGGCATTACTGATAGGTACACACACACACATGCACACGCACACGCACATCTCAGGAGGTGCAGCCCATGTTTAAGTTCATACACCAGGGTGACAATATGTAGCAGTTCAGGTTGTATCTATGAGAACAGGCACGAGGAGAAGTTTGAAATCCAGCCCCATGCGCCACTAACCAAGCCCTGTGTCCTGCACAAGATGGCAGCGTCAGGCCAAAAGCAGGGAGGGCCTTTTTATATTTAGGTTTCCCAGGCGGGAACCTTTTTTTTTTTTTATCATTAATCCACTAATCCATTAATACAAATCAGAGAGAAAGACTTTCTGTAACTGGTGTAAAAGTTGTTATAGGTGTTGTGGGTGGTCCTCTCGCGAAGTCAAGTTCTCCTCTTGCCTTTCCAAAATCCTGACTTTCCTCGGACTTACAAACCCAATTTTATTTAGGAAAATACGGAGTAGTTCAATTCCACAAAATCAAGCTTACTCAATTTCCACAGCTGTGATTTTTCTGCTCCACCTGTAATTTCAGAGGTAGAATTTTAGAATGGGTGTGCACGTGTGCGTGTGTGTCTATGTCTGTATATGTCTATAGACATATACACACGGACTACTCTAAATATTGCACACAAATATTGCACACAACCAACTAAATACTGAAATCATTTTTCCTCCTTTCTGGCCATTATACGGACTCTGTAAAGTATCGATAGTGTAGAGCTGACTCCTCATGCGCTCTGAGCAATTTCTGAATGACTGAAATTATTTTTACGTACGCTGATTTTTTAAGACCAACTTTAATTTCATTCAGTTTACCTCAACTTCTGAGCCAAGATTCTGCAACAAAAGGGTGACCAGCGAATACAGCAGTCTTCACTGTGATGCATTTGGTCCCCGTAACTCCTCTTTGAGAACTATGTATCTGCTCAGTAAAAACGCAATATTCACTGTTCTACCTCATTCTGAACTCCCCTTCATTTAGCTGGACATTGTCTAGTAATTAAAATCTGAAATGTGTGCTTTCCCTCATGACTGACATACCATAAATCACTGGCATGACAAAAAAAAAAAAGCATCCAAAATGTTATTGCTTCAGAAATGACCTATGAAAAGTTATTTTTTTACTAGGACTATCTTTGCCTCAAGATCCCTTGCGTCTAGAAATTAGGTTGGTTTCCATGATCACTACCGCAGCTGAAAAATAAATGCAAATTTATATGCAGCATGGAAAAGAGGAATAATACAAATAATAAGTTAAAAAAAAAAAAGAATGCTGTATAATATCCTAATGCAATTACTTACTTCACTGTAGTTAGTTAAGCTCATGCTTGGGAATGAGAGCAAAGTTGCAATCAAATCAGTTAATTTTTAATTGCCTTACAAAGGTTATATGACTTTCGTTTTTTACATATTTTTAAATAAATGTTTTCAGCCATGCTCAAACTTTCAGGTTCATGGTATTTTCCTCTGTTCCTTAGATTAATTAAAAAAAAATTTAAAGGGATAATTGAAGATTTATGTATCTTCAATGGATTCACCCCAGGAGAATTTGCATTTTATTTTCTACATTAGGGAAGAAATTGCTCCAGTGGATGATAAAGCTATTTGAGTAGAAGCCCTTGGCTTAACAAGACTCTGTGAAATCAGAGATAACACAAGGCCAACTACTGTGCTAAAGTCTTCTCAATGAATCTTTTCAAAGCTGCCCGTTGTGATACTAATGAGCCCATTGTTTCGTGCTGTTTTCCCTCAAGGCGGAAGGACTGGCTTTGTCATGCGTGAACAGACTCCGGCCAACACTGCTCGCTTCTATACATCTTATGGAATATATGTGTGTATATATATATATGTTTCTTTTTTTTTTT